CAATTCAACAGCGCCGAATTTCGGAGTTTCAGCGAAAAGTGGGATTTCCTTCATCGTTTAACCAGCCCTTACCACAGTCAGTCAAATGGAAAAGCTGAGTCAGCCGTGAAGGAAGCAAAGAAGTTACTCACCAAAGCCAAGGAGACCAAAGAAGATCCTTACATCATGTTGTTAGAACGAAGGAACATGCCATCTGCCGAAATTGGATGCAGTCCAGCGCAACGTCTGTTTGGCCGTAGGACAAGAACCCTGTTGCCGATCGCCAATACTCTGCTGCAGCCTGAAATACCATCGCAGAGCTTGATGTATGAGCGCTTGCGTGAGCGCATGCTTCGACAAAAGAAATATTACGATCGCGGAACGAAGCAGCTTCCACGCCTGTTGCCCGGAGACGAGGTCTGGGTCGCGCCGACACCGGGAGCTAACGGGTCTTGGAGGAGAGGGCGAGTGGAAGGTCTCAAAGGCGAACGAAGCTACGACGTAAGAGTTGGGGATAGTCTATTCCGACGCAACCGGGTGCAGTTAAGGAGACAACGTGGTGAACAAGCACGGCATCGTGCGAAGCAGCCAACGCAGCCGGACATTTCGGTGGATACGGCAGCACACGACCACAAGACTACACGCAGTGGAAGGCGATACAGCGCTTACGCAATCGGACTACAAAAAAAAACGAAAAAAAGGAAGGATGTGATGGTATGACACTACATTTAGATGCCCGTTGCATAGCGATCGGTCGAGCTTAACGATTTTGGGTCAACGGTCTGAAAGCTGGTCAATCGCTGCAGAGGCGAACTGAAGGTTAGCATGCAATCGATTTCTATCGACATTGAACGAAACTCGAACGCTGGCTGAGAATGTAATAGAAAGGAGATTTGTTTTGCGAATGATTCTAATTGACTCGAGATATAAAATGAGTTTGCGTTCTATGAATAATGAATTTCTGATCGAGGCCCAGACTTTGACTTTTTGATGCACTGAGGGCCACTTTACAGTACCATTATTTGATCCGTCCCTTCTGGGAACGGCTTCTCGCATCGTCGAGCCATATACAATTTATTTAATTATATCAGCCCGAAGAAAATAAAATGTTACACCATAGCATTTAGAAATGTTCAGAATGAGAGACCGGGTCGATGACCACAGCATAAACTCATCCAGATCAGCCCGAAGAGTAGATGTCCCGACCGCTGGAGATTTACATCCTATATCGGCATCATCTGAGTACTTGCATCCAATAGAGTTTGACGGTAAAGTGAGGTTATCAATATATAAGGAAAACAGCAGGGCAGACAGATTCACTCTTTGTAAAACATCAAAATCAAGACAAAGTGTAGAGAATTTTGTTCCATTAAGGTGTGTGAAGTGGGGACAGTGTGCAAAGCGTATTATGATCATGCTGCAGACACTTGTATTTACCCCACTCGTGAGCAGCTGATTGGGCAGAACTGATCGGTTGACACTTCCAAAAGCATCTGAATACTCGAGAAACAGCAGGCGTATTGCTCTGCATTTTTTATCCAGGGCCGATGATACCGATTGTACTAGGTACGATACAGCATCCAGTGTGGAGCGGTTGGGTTTATAAGCAAACTGGTATACATCGTCTGATTGGGTGCATTTGTAGACCCGAGGTACAAGTAGTTTCTCAAAGACTTTCAACATCACCGACGTACATGCAATCGGACGATAGCTTTGAGATACCTTCTTGGGCACAGGCGTTATCCTTACAGGTCTCCAACTGTCAGGGGTTGTGCCACACATAAGACAGCGGTTGAATAGAGCGGTTGAATAGAGCGGTTAAAGGTACCACAAGATAATCCGCGCACTCTTTTAGGGCGAGTGAGGATCGAACATTAGGTCCAGCAGCTTTAGTAATCGTCATTTATTAAGTTCCATGTAAACATCCAAGTGATCAAGGATGACTACGAGAAGGAGGGCAAGGAAAACATATCCTTTGGGGAAGAACGAAATCCGGTTTTGAGTCTGTCCACATCTACATTATCAAGACGCTTCAGGGAACCTTTGCCACATAGCTGTTTTAATAGTCGTCAGGGGTCACGGTAATCGTAAGTACCTAACGCAGTTTCAAGGTATACACTATGCAATCGCGTTACCTCTGATCTTATTAACGTTAGTCCTTTAACTTGGGAAGACCATTTGAAGTTTTATACCCGTTCTTTTTTTCGTCTAAGTCGCTTCAGTAGTGGTGAAAAGAATCTGTCCATGCGTAGGTAAATAGTTTCAACGGGGCAGCATAGATCAAAGCAGAAGTTGATATATTCGGTAATATTTTCACACCAAAACGACCGGTTTTCGTCAGTGAAAATTGAGAAGTCAGTTGCAAGAGTTCCTTTTGAGCAGTCTCGCCGTCTGATGGTTTTGAAAGGCTTTTTGTCGAAGACACAAGTTTGGTCTTGCTGTAAATAATTGGGCATATCTTCAGAACAGTGGTCCAAATTACCGACAGGAACTCGCTTTAAAGTAAAAAACAACAGAGTTTTTGTTGTGGGAACAAAATCCAACTGCACATGGAGACTGGTTTCGAAAGATAGCGTACTTTTTTAGACCAAGTGTCTTGATGAACGTCGTATCATCTTTGCTAAAGTCACCAGCAACGGATACAGACAGAGCATTTAATTGTAGGCAGTAAAGCTGGTGTGAAATGATCAGCAGAATTTTCGAGATCAGTTGATGGCGGGGACCAAATAGATGTTTCTGATGGCAACGGAAAGAAATCCTCATAAATTTCGGCTTAGACTCGATTAAACGACAGCTAATTGCTGGTGTTAAGAATGTAGAGAGCAAGTTAATCGAATTATACCACGAATGGCTCACATAAGTGGCAACGCTTCCACCGCGATTCTGCGGCTTCCCAGGGAAATCGGACCTCACGACGCGGTATCCATCGAGTTAAATAACCTCACCGTCCACATCAGAATGTAAGACAGCTTCCCGTGGCATTACAATACCCGCGTTCGCACATTCCTTACGCTACATAGTGGTGTTGAGTTCCTCAACTTTACCGAGTAGAGAGCGCACATTTGCTAGAGATAATTAGTGGAATTTCGCCTTATTATTTGGACAGCGTCTGAGTCCAGCTTGCAAACCAGCATGCTACTTACTTCTTGTGCCAAAGCGTTGTTCTGAAATTCGGTTGACGGCATTACTAATGTTGTGACCGTATGCGACATAAGACCCACTTTTCACAGCGTCTCTAAACAATTTCAAAAAATCGGCGGAGCAGGACGACGATGACCTCAGAATGATCCAGATAACCAAAATGCGTGAACAGTAAGACAAAATGGATAAATCCGCAGTAGATACGATAAAAAATATTCCGAGGAGAAAACAGCAACGGCGAATATGAAGACCATCTCATTCCTCACTGGCTAGACAAACCTGTGTCGGAATAAAGTCAAGATAGGTAAAAAGGTATTAGCATCAACGCGTTGAGCTGATGCTTCACTATCATGTGACCACAGATGTTGTAAAGGAACTGACATAATGCAGGGACACTCAAATCCAAGCAGGAACGAGAATTGGAAACCAAGGTACAGAGGTTGGAACCCACTAAACCTCAGATCCTCATGAGTCAAGGTGGCAAGTACGTAACGAGAAAGCTGACATTGGTGAGACAGAAAGCAGATACCGTGTGGGTGCGCTTGTCCGATCTCCAATCTAGCACCAGCCAACAACTCGATCAAACTGACCCGGGGTATCGTCTCGTTAGACCGACGTCATGTCAGGCGACGTGAACGCATGCGCTGGAAAGTTGCGTCTCTAGGGAAATCGAGGTTCACACAAAATTGGGGAACTCAATGGTCACTATCGGTGCAGCTATAATAGAATCCAAAACAACCTTCCGGGCATCGTTTGTTTCACGTTACATGATTAAGTTGAATTTAACAAGCTCCAGTATATCTGGTCAGATAGAGAGGGATGAAAATGTCAACAGAATTCATCTTTGACGGTCTCCGAGTTATCTGTAGATAACTTCATCGAAAGAATAAAAAGTTACCCGACCATCAAATGCTGCTCATTAATCTTGGTGGCTATGCGGACTTTGTTCGATATTTGAAAAGCAACAAGACTTGCAGGCAAGGCATTCAAATCAGCCGTTGCCTTTTCACTGACAGGTCTTAGTTTATCAGCTGCGGATTCATCAGTTTTCACTAAGTATGTTACATTTTCTTCGGTTAGACAAGTTACAAGGTCACTAATGCCGTCCCCGTCGATTTATTGAAAAAAGTGTTTTGAGATACTGTGCGTCATTGTCATCCTCATATATGTTAGCTAGAGGTCGAAAAGACATCAGTTATTGTCCCGCAGATATGGTGCGTACTGCGCGAAATTATTAGAAGGCGTTTCGTAACTTAACAAATCTCCGTCTGGATCGATAAACTGGGCTTCGACATAGTACCGCCATCAGAATGCAGATTCGGGACTATTCATTCCAGTCACACTTGTATCGCTAATGACATCTCTGCGAGCTGCACAATTTTGCATCTTTTATGATGAAGTAGGTTTGGTAAAATGCTGAAAATGCACGCAGTGGGGTACACAAAATTTATACTGACTTGAACACAGCCACTAAAAATATTGACCCAAATGACTACCTATATCTACAAGTACGAATGAGTTGGAACGTCTTCATGCCAAGTATGAGCGCGGTGGCTCCATTAATAAATGAGGGGTCTCGAGACTATCGCGTAGTTTTAGGTTGATTACACGAGAATGCGGCCGGCAGGCAACGACTCCGCCACGGGGAATGCATAACGGCTTGACTAGGTCATATATGGGCGGCATTTCAAGATAAGCTAGGTCAGAGGTAAAATATTTACTTAAGAAGGGATTAAAATGCAAAAACTGTGTGCTAATAAGAACTGCGTTATGATGCGATTGACATTAAGAGTAAGAGATACAATGGAAAACCTCCAGAAGATGCAAGAAAGAAATTGGGACACTCAGTGATTGGTGAAGAAAAACCCACGAGAGGTTACCTGCCAATAGCTGTTTGAATCGAGCTCATCTTCAACTCCAGTGACTGACTGTTGACCACTGCCGCTGCCGTACATCACATCATGTGAGTGCAATTTCACTTTGTACTGAGAATTAACCAACTTGAGGACGGTACCACAAGTGACTTCGTTACCGTGATACCCGTAGCCTAATAACCATAGTAATGGGAAAATAGAAACGTACACCATGACAGGAATAACGGGAGTAGCGAAGCGCACAGCATAAAATGCATGTGTGGTGTGCACGATTCCCGACGGAAGATAAAATGCCGAAAGAGCTGAAAAAGAAAATGTAAACCCTAGAATATAGATCAGTAGAAAAACAAAGTGCACAACGCGAGTTTACCTACGGTTCCGAAATAGTGAATGGATAAGGAAAGTTTACTCGGTTAACGGCAATACAACAAGTCATGCAATGTCTCGAGGGCTTAACGAGCGGTAAACGAACAAGGACATCCGGTACTTAGGCATGCGATTGATTCCCATTGCTTTTGTAAAGAAGTATAGTAAGAACGAAAGCAGTCCGTGTATTTTCATGAATCGGCCCCAGAATTCATCACACACAACGTACCCAGTTCATCCAATGTTAGGTATCTTGGTGTATATTTACATCAGAATATATCTTGCCCAACACACGTTAACGAAACGTACGAAAATTATCATTCTATGCCCTGAGACTCAAAATGTATTCAGTATCCTGCACTTAAATTTACAAATTCTTGATTGCCTGTATTCTTCCTTATTGGTAATATTGCTCACTAATCATTTTTACTGGTCTTTAACAAAATGATTTCACGTTGATTGTGCGCTCCATTAAGCTCATTTCCAAATGTTGTTGATAGCCCACAGAGCCTCTGGTTGAGTTCACTTTCAGCAAATGTTTTAAATGACCTTTTCACCTTCTTCACGCTGATTTATCCGAAGCCTTCTGCTCAGCTAACCGAAATCACAACTCGATTCTACCGTATTTATCCCGATTTCATGTGGACTCCAAAAACCTTATCAGCACCACGCCTGAACGCATACTTGTGTGAAGTGCACGCAGGTGTTCTTCCCTATACACTTTTACTTCAAGTTATGCTTATGTCATGTCTCTACATCCGCAGTGCTGGTGTAAAATGCTGAAAATGTTCCTAGTCAGGGTTCATAAAGCCTATCTTGACTTGACTTGACAAGATATCTCAACGAATCAAACCCAAGTAACTTCAAAGTATTTCCGGAAATAGATCCAGTCAAACACTATTTAGGTTCCATTTGAAGTATCCTACCGCATCGTATTCCACCAAACTAGAAGGAAGTGAAGTTCAACTGCTTAGGACACGATTTGTACAATATCCAGCCAGGGAATATATTGTTTGAGCATCAGACGGTGTGCGCGCAGGTGATCTGACGCAGGTAATTCAAACAGATTTCTAGGGATTATGCTACTGACAGCCTCTAAAAAGTTACAAGTCGCTATCAGGTTGGTTCTCAATCAGCATCGTTCCACAGAAAACATGCCTAAGCTAATAAAATGACCAAGCGGCTTCAAACGTCGGCCTTCAATCATATTGATTGCCGATTTTTGGGTATCTCCTAAACAAACAAACTCAGTAAGGAGATAAGGCATCAAAAGATGAACACATTACAGCAGATGTGATGCGATCACAGCTTCATACAATGGTAGGAAAAATTGTGGTCTGGTGTTACACAGCGCATTTTCCAGGCGTAACAATCATTGTGGTGTGTTGTTGGCCGCAAGGCTGCGTTGCGCCTTTTATGATCTACAAGTCTGTAATTCCAGTTGCATGGAATTCGTTCCCTGTCAACTCCGAAGCCCAGCCGAGAATCAGAAGACAAAGCTTGGAGGCAAAAGTGTGTTGCGGAACCAGCTACCAAAACGCGTACAAGTAGTGTGAAATCGACGGACATTTATAAGTCAACCAAAGAACATTCACATATCAGATCAGCTAGGTCAGGTGGCGTGATTGGTAGATTGGTTTCGCTAGCCAATGGAAAGGTTGCTGCGTACGTCGTGTGGACACGAACGTTCCTGAAACCACTTGGTGTTTCGGTCGTATACCATCGGGTCAACTTGTTTTTTATTGAATTAATGAGATTTCCTGAGAGATTTTATTCTCCCTGATATCTCTTCTCTTGAGATGGTGGCGGTGGTGTAGGAGGATAACCTCAGGTTGACTTGTAATCTTGAAGACCGTGTTCTTCGTTTGTCCGTCCATCATCTAGGTTGAAGTGCCTTTGGAGTTGGCTCTGGGCTATCGGATGCAGCGTTCGATTGACTGTGACCTTCCCTGTCTGTTTCGGTAAGTTGAAGTGGTCCACAAGGAGGTCGAAAACCAGCTTGGATGGCTTCCTCGATCATGGCCGGCAGCGCATTGGGGGTAGCTGATTTGCATGGCGGACCCAGGTTTGCGATCCAATAACTACATCGTAAATGACGTCTCCATGTTTACATCTGATCTCACCTGGAGTCCATGTTACATGGCCTCTCCGATAGTCGCGTGCGAGCATTGAATCTCCGGATCTGAATGGATGCTGCTTTGCTCCATGCTCCCGACTGAATTTTTGCCCCGTTTTTCTGCCCCTTTCGCCGTACGAGAATTAAGGAGCTGGACGAAGTGCATCCGATCTTCTTGCTCATCATCGCTTATGCTTGGAATACTCCGTTCGATGCCTGAGGCTTCGGCGTATAACGGTTACAGACGTGGTTCAGGGGAACACCAAAGAGTCCTAACCTCTCGATCCAGTTGTTTCCAAGAAGGTTTAGATTCGGTCAGTCCGTCACGTAGTAATTTTCGGTCTTTTCCACCTTGTTAAATGTGATTTTACAGATGATTTCTCCAACCAGATACATCATCATCATTACACGTTAGCTGGAGGTGGAAAACACCTCAGCTATTGTGCCGCAATACAAAAGGCAAGAATAGAAAAAAAAACAAACAGTGGCACGCTCGCTGAGTCCCCAGTAACGGATGGACATCGTTCCGGAAAGCTAACAGCTGGCTGCCGTAAAAGAAAGTCACATTATGCCTAACGATTGAGATCGTGATTGGAGGGGGATACTAAACAGGAGGGGGATGGACAAAGGAACTCACAACACAAACGCCATTGGGGCTTGCTCCTAGCCATATCAGCAAGTGTGTCCAACCAAACGTGTTCACCGTCCTTAGGACCCCAACCAGGCAGTCGGGATGCACCAACCGACGCCAACTTCGAAGTGAGGGTTTTCATTTCTCTCGACCAAGTCATCACTTGGCCTCCCCTCCTCCTCTTCCAACCGCACCCACAACGCGCAACCAATGCACGTCGTGGGAGTCGGTGTGCTGGCATGCGCAACACGTGGCCCAGCCATCGGAGCCTGGTGCGTGATATAATCGTGCTGAGCGGTTCACTCGCTCTTCCTGCATCAAATACGCGACGCCGAACACGCTCATTGCTCACGCGGTGTTCCCACCAGACATGAGCTAAGCTGCGAAGGCAACGATGATCGAACGTGACGAGTCTCTTCATGTCTGTCGACCTGATGGGCCAGGTTTCACAGCCATATAGGAGAGTTGAACGGACGGCTGCGTTGTAAACTCTGCCCTTGAGGGCGAGAGTAATGTCGCGTCTGCGCCACAGGTGGCGGAGATTGGCAAAAGCACCTCGAGCTTTTGCTATACGGTTCGTAACCTCATCTTCAATCCCACGGGTGCTAATATAGCTGCCCAGGTACTTAAATTCCTGAACGACTTCTAGCAGACACCACCAAGCGTTAGCGCAGGGTTGGGTCCCTGCCAATCTTGGAGAAGTACTTTGCATTTCGATGGAGCAAAGCATAGCCCAAAACGATTGACAGCCAGTGCTAATCGGTTCAGTGCTGTTTGGCATGTTTGGGAGCTGTCACAGATTAGGGCAATATCGTCTGCATACTCCAAGTCAAGAAGTCCCAACCAGATACAGGACTCCGCCAAATGCGTTGTGAGCCAATTCGTCAGAAACGGCAACCTCTGGCATCTTGATGTGGTTCCATGTGCCCTTGGATATGATAGTGATATCAGAGGCCATGTCAAACTGCAACCTGGAAGGAATCCCGTTGATAAGTAAGGTAACTTAATGTCTGAGGGGTTTGAACTCACTCTGGAAAGCGGTAACGACAAACAAGAAGTCTGCAACGGCATTTTTAAGCTTTTTGGAACGGAACGGTTGTGTTCATTGCTCGCTCGGAAAGAATGTTCAGCATAACGACTCGATGATTCGCTTGTCTCATGGTTGCGACCTTACTCCCACCAATGACAGGTTTCCATATTTAAAGTTGCAAGGTCATTGTGGAGGAGGACTTTGTACACCAATGAAATCGTCTCCTATGTACTTCGTTCTGTCCTCTCGCAAGCGAGTTTTCCTTGTTGACGTCTCCTTCGATTTCTGTTTTAGGTCGAAGTCTTGAGCTTTGACGCCGGCAAGCTCGCGATTCATAGATCACAACAGATTTTTCTGGAAACGGTAATACAAGTGTGAAGAACTCCCAAAGATGTCACTTTCAATGGAAGTGCTCGCATTGATACTGTAGCAGTAACAGAAGCTATTTGAGGAGTCACAGGCGCGGCTGATCGAAACGCTGTAGCAGAAATTGAATGTCCAATCGTCCTCAACTGGCAGAAAGCAGTCATCCGTTGACGCAATTTTAGGAAACATCGCAGAATGTAGTTATGATGTAGACGCCGGATGCACTTTCAAATTTTGGTTCAGGAGACATGAAGATACATTCCGAACAGAGCTAGCTGCCACGGATGATGACTGAAAATCACGGGTGCTTCTGAGAAAGCTTGGGAACAAGGAACACGGAAGGTTTTTGAATTTTATTCTTCTTAGAGTGCGGTGGATTTAAATCTGACGAAAACATTGAATTGTCAAAAGAAAACTTTGGTGGAGCATCCTCTATTTGTAATGTGCGGCACTCCTGTTTGAAAATTGTCAAAAGCGACTGTCTAAATAATACAGTGAGAAGACGGGTGTTGCAGGACGACATCATTTCGCGCTTTCTGATCACCTGCAAACGAGCGACATTTAACGATCATGAAAGGGGAAATCAATGATTTAAATGGTGCCCGAATGGGAATGAAAGTAACATAAGGGTATGAACTACAACAGAAGCACAACCTTTGAGACAAGTCTCACTATCCCCAAAGAAGGTTGAGGGTGACAGTCAACTGCTTTTGCACACATAGGTCCGAACGGCTGTGATTAATTGCCACAGCCTCCGCGAGCTTGAGTATCTTGGCGTTTTCATTAGGGTAGC